TTAAAAACATTAAATCACCTCATCGGTAGTGACGAATATTATTAAATGTATTCATTACTTATTCATTGATAACTTAGAGTTTAATCATAAGTGATTTAAATAATACATAAATATTTATACTTCAATAATATCTGTTTTAACAACATTAAGTTGAAAAAAATAACTATCCTATATCCCCCTGTTGAGGTTAAGTAAAATATAAAAAAAATGTAAGTCCTCACTGAGGGTAACTACAACTGTGCACTATTTAAATAAATGTTGCTATATAGGAAATGGGGAAATTATGTTTACCTTCAAGTAGCAGTTATTAATCTGAAAAAAAAAATAGTTCAAGCAGCAATCAGTAAATAAGTAAATATTTAGAAATTAAATTTAAAAAGAACACAAGTATTGTTTTAACTGTTTTAAGTCATCGATGATTGAATTAATCATCATCTATACATTTACTAGAACATTATTTATTTAAGTGATTCTTATGATTACAATGATAAAAAAACTATATAGATACATTATTAACTTTTTACAAGTATAATATTTATTGATATCATAGTGCATTTATACTGGATTTATTAATGTTTTGTTTCATTACTTAAATAAACTGTATAATAGGCTACTGAATATAATGAGTTAGTAATGATTAGTTATATTTTAAAAATTTGTAGAATATCTTTTAAATATTATCAAATTCTTTAACAGAGTAAGTAAGTGTATTTTTTTAATTTTAACTATATAACCTAAATAAAACAGAATAAAAAAATAAAATAAATTTAATTAATTAAGCATTGCTACAATTTTAAAGAAGATTGGATTTACAGTTATCAATGTGTAACATTATACATTATTTTTAAGATACTTGATTAAACTAATCCAATATTATATTTTGATATACTTTATATTCATAGAGTTATTACTTTATGTTTATATCAAATTGATTCAATTTAAGCATATTGACTAATATTATATGATTCTGATAAACATAAATAGATAATTGAATTATTAAGTCATATTCTACTTGGGGAAATGAATTAATGTTAGACTTTTAATGTGAATGGATCTTTAAATTTATAGCAATATATTTACCAGGCCAAACAAGAATAGAAATTTTTTGATTGAAAAAATATAGATCAAATAAATTATTTTTAATTACAATCAAAAGAAATTCATCTGTTTTTTTTTTTTTTTTGCGTAAGAGATAGATTGACATTAGTTAATATTAAAAATAATAAATATAATATAATACATTGGGTCATTTTTAATAAAAAATAATCATTATTTTACAATCTATCATCATTTTTGAAAATATTTTTTTTTACTAATTTCCAGTTAGGATAAAACATTTAAAGAAAATTATATTTGTTATTGTTTCATTTTAAATGAAAATTATAAAAAAAATATTTTCAAAAGCATTAATAGATTTTGAAACAGTAAGTGTTATTTGATAAAAAATCACTTTGTAAAATAAATTTTGTAAAAATTTAGCATTTTGAATAGTGTTAATATATATAAAAATCTCTACATCATCAGCAAATAATAGAATATTAAAATAATTAAAATATATATACATATTAAATTATCATACTGAATGAAATAAAATTTAACTTTGGCTCACTATTTTTTTTTTTAACAATTGTCTAGATATGTACACTAAAATAATGAACACATGTCCTTATAAAAGTGCCTTAAAGAAGTACAATATGTAAATAAGCATTTCAGATTATTGGTTATTTCATCAGCAATGTTATAAATTGTGATTAATACTTAGCATATAAAAGATCAATCACAAAAAAAGACAAAAATGCACGAATAAGTTGTATATAGTTATTATTCATAACTAGTAAAAATCACATTTCATAATGAAGTTCTGAAATAATAAATGAAATGGTTATTGGTATACCTAATTGTTTACCTACTAACTAAATTGGTATAGGTATTTTATATACTAATTTGTAATCTGTTTAATGGCCGTTTACTGTTATATTTTTTTTAATGCTAATTTATTTAATAATATTTAACAATTTGTATTACTAATACACACACTTAATCAAACATGAATACTTTAAATCACTTACAAAAAATAAGAATTTCTTTTTTATGATATATGTATCTATATATATCTACATATTATGTGATATTTAAAAATTGACAGTATACTAATATCAGCAGATAATTTAAAATTATTGGTGAAAACAAATTATACGTACCAAATACAGTGTCAAAACCACATGGTAATACTAATACCTAATTCATAATTTATTGCATTTCAAAATTCGGAATGTTAAAATAAATAATATTTCATTATAATTTGTGGTTGCAAGATTCATCGTTATGGATTTTAATATAATTGAATATTGTTATTTTTTTGAAGTTATTTAATATTAATTTATAATTTAAACTATAATAATTAATTACACTTAATTATTTAACCATGGTAAATGGCTATAGAATACAAAACTAATAAAGTTTAATTCGTCATAAAAAGTATCACATTATGAAAAACCACGTGTTAGACGCTTGGGCATCAGAATTTGGATTTTATTTGGACTTCAGAGTTCAGGAGTTTATATCGAAAAAATATAAACGATGTCCGATAATCTAAAAAATGATATAAGTGAATGATAAGCACTTGTCCGAAAAATGATAAGGACCCGAGATATGATAATCCAAAATTATTACCAACTGTTGCGTTGTTAGCAAAATTATGGACATTGTTTTTTTAACCATGTGACCTATCTTAGGTGGTGTTGCATAGCAAATCAAGGGATATTTTCGTTTTGAACGTCCGAACGAGCGAGTAGCAACGCTGGCCCCTAATTCCCTTTGAAAATGTATTTGAAAATTATATATTGGCATGGATCTAACATCAAATTTAAATGGAAAAATTAAAACACTCAACAATTGCATGATCAAAACAAGTTAGCAAGTTACCTGATCGAATTTTGTAATATTATGTATTGATTTTCTTAGTAAAACAACATTTTTTTTTCGATCCTCTTAAATTTTAAAATGCTATTTTCAAAATACGTCTCATCAAAAATGTATTTTGACTTTATAGCGGTGTAATTACTAGAGCCTTTTTATGACCAAATTAGACTTAAATTTTATATTTTACCATCGGATACGGATAATATCGTCGTTAATCGCATCTATACTTAGATTTCATAGGTATATTTTTTATTTTAATATACGAAACGCGCGGCTTGGAATAGAATACCAAATATGTGTATTTTAATAATTAATAGGCTTATTATAAAACGTAAGTACTAAGTATACCTTGTCACCTTAACAAAGTTTGAAATAATGAATAAAGTCATTTAAATCGAACGAGCTAATTATTAATAGGAAGTGGCCACTATGTAAAATAAATTTTCCCACCAGCCATTAAAATAGCCAGTGTCTGCCTAAGACACGGACGAGCTGGGCGGTCGCCCGGGGCACCTCCAGAATAGGGACGCCTGAGACGCATTTGTTGTTAAAAAAATAGTAAAAACTTATACATTTTTTTTTTTAGTTAACAAAATAATGAACTAATATAAATTTATTAATATAATAATTATATTACAATATTATTACCACGCACCATGACTACAACTTTGGGGTAGGTACAATGACTTAAAAACATTGTCACTACCGCCGCACCAATTTATCTGACGCCGATGGTTAGGTATGAATGTACACGTTTGTCGTGTTACATATAATGAAACGCATTTTCATTATTGTGGAAAAATTATTCAAAATGAAATTATTTTTATAATTGGAAACTTATCAAAACAATATACTAGGTCGAGTTCAAAAAGCTAAATATTATAGTATTATGTTGAATTGCACTCGAGACATTAGTCACATTGAACAACTTTCTTTGACTTTAAAATTTTTTGATATAGATAAGAAATTGCATTTAAAAAAATGTTATAATGTTTGAACCAATAAATAACTCGTCTGGTGAAAGAATTTATAAGACTATATAAAAATGTATAATTGTGAACTATAATTAAGTAACAGTAGATGTTAAGGATATAATAACTGGACGAATATGAAGGATAAAAATAAAGGCGCACAAGCAAGAATATCATGAGCCAATTCTCGAGCTTTTTTATGCCATGTGGTTGTCATTTACTAAATTTAATAGTTAGAGATAATTTTTCTTGTTCCATTGAGTCAAAAAACTTCTTTGGAGCGATTCAACGAATATACATGTTGTTTTCTGTTCTCTGCATCAGTGAATCGTTGATATATCTTAAAAAAACACATTAAATCTTTGTTTGTTAAGCCATTATATGAGGACTCGATGGGAATGTCGAATAGATTGTATTAATGCGGTTAAAAATGAAATCTCACAAATAATAGATGCACTGAAAGAATTAACTGAATTAATAACAGTGTATATAATAATAATATAATAATCTACAATAATAAATTGTCTAAAACAATAAAAATATTATTCAAGCTACATGTCATTTTTAGGGGCGCCATAATAACTCGAACCGGTACTGGCTATGCCTATAGCTGCCTATATACGTAATATATTATCTTACTTTATATATGTTACTCGTTTATACGAATAATATAGTTTCATCGTAGTATAGATTTAATCTATATAAACATAACACATTACAATATCCAATTTCCAATGCCTAATCTTGTCATCACTCACCACCGCCCATCGGCTACAAAGAAAATGACAGTTCACAAATTAATTTTTGATTTT